CAGGACTCATCAGAATCCAGATGTTCTGCTTCAGATTCAGAGGTGGGAGTCAGGGGTCACTAAAAATGATACGAATCTTATAAAAGATGGAACTTTCTTTTTAAAAGAAGGAAAATCCAGATGTGACACTGTATCTTAACCTAAAGCCCTCGTAAGGGCTTATCAGAATCCAGATGTTCTGCTTCAGATTCAGAGGTGGAGGAGAAGAAATTTGGGGCTCGTTCTAATTCTGATTTTCTAAGTTCACCTCCACCAGCTGAGACCAAAAAAGCAAAAACAAGGATGAAATGAACAAAAATACAACCAAAAGGAGCAAAAATAGAGCTAAAATGACCAAATGGAGCTAAAACAGAGCTAAATGTACCCTGTCTCCTAACTGACAGAAGCTAAACCTCCCAGAGTTCCCACAGTGGGTCAGAAACTGAATAAACCAGCAGCTCTGATGGAGGGATGGATCTTCACTGCTTTATGTTTTTAAATACACCAAAAAAGCATAAACGATGTTGAAATGACTAAAAATACAAGCAAAAGGAGCAAAAACGGAGCTAAAATGACAAAAATAGAGCTAACATAGAGCTAAAATGTCCAAAATAGAGAAAAGATAGAGCTAAAACAGAACTAAATGTACCCTGTCTGCTAACTAACAGAAGCTAAACCTCCCAGAGTTCCCACAGTGGGTCAGAAACTGAATGAAACCAGGAACCAAAACAGGGACCAGAAACAGGAAGGAAAGGACTGAACCCCAGCAGCTCTGATGGAGGGATGGATCCTCCAGAGCCAGAGCTCCACTTTATGAAGCAGTGTGGGATCCTCTGACAGAGAACGGCCTCAGAACGTGTTTATTTCTGTCTCTCTAAAGCTGAACTAACTGCCTCTGAGTAGTGAGTGTTCCTCTGTTCTCCTGTCAGTGACCTCTCACCCCCTCTGGAACAGGAAGCCCAAAGAAGTAGGAGCTGCACCCGTCGGGTTCGGGCATCTGGAAGTCCGGACGGGGAACCGGAGCTTTACCTAAAGGGGAGAAACAGAGAGGGTCAGGGCTGCCCTCTGGACCTGGCCCCCCCCCCCTGGGGGTCACAGTCCGGCTCTAGATAACGGCCGCGATAAGGGCCAGAACTCCCCCCGGCAGAGTGAGCTGATCCTTTAGTGAAACTGGCTCTTTAAAATGTGAAACATTCAAACGACCAGGAACTCTGTCTAACCGAACGATTAGCCGATTAGCTTCTGGGACTTACATATGTATATTATTATTTATATTTTGTGTGGAATGTGGAATGTAGTATGTATGTGTATATATATATATACAGCATATATATATTTGTGTGTGTAAATATGTGTGTGTCTAATCCAAAGTCTAACAGCTCTGATAAACCAATCAGAATCAGAAATACTTCAATAATCCCAGAGAAAATTATTTTTGTTACCAACTCCAGATATACAACAGCACATACATATAAACAGACACACACACACATATATATATACACAAACACACACACACACACACACACACACACACACACACACATAATAATAATATGTACACACATAATTTTCTCTGGGATTATTAAAGTATTTCTGACTGATTGGTTTACCACAGCTGTTAGACTTTGGATTGAACATCAGGTTAACAGGATGATCAAAACTGTGACTCATTATAGAGGGCTCCAGGGCCCCCCAGGACCCGTCCAGACCCCCCCACAGGACCCGTTCCCCCCCCCCCCCCCCCACCGTGTCTGCCCCCGTGCTGGCAGACTCCGTCCCGGCCGCCCATGAACTCCAGCACGGAGTCGAAGTAGCCGCTGACCGCCTCGAAGCCGCCGCGCAGCGAGTTCACCCCCCAGTCCTCGTCCCCGGGGGGGTCCCCGGCGGGGGGGGGGTCCCCGGCGGGCGGGGGGGGCCCGGTGGGGTCCTGGGCGTGCGTGCAGACGCCCCCCAGCAGCAGCAGCAGGACCAGAGTGGAGCGGCTCATCCTGAGGATCAGAGAGAGGTAAGAGAGGTAACGGTTACCGGGGGAAACCGAGGGGAAAAGCTCCGGACACAGGCCGGACTTTGAGCCTCACATGTGGAGGAGCAAAGTCCGGCCTCTGCCCCCCCCCACCCCGCCCTATTAATCACTCAGTGTCCTGAACGCCTACTATCTGATGGCCTCCTGCTCCAGTCACTAAACTACTTTGATTAGACAGAGGACACCT